TACAAATGACAATCATACTGAGACTACAAATGATAAAGATTGAAATCTTCATGTTTCCACAATCATAGGGGGTAAATATGAATGTGAGAAGCTACCCACCTTATTCTTCAATTTGTACTACATCATGTATCACAATAAACCAGAAGTTTACCAATGCAAAAGCAGCTAAAGTAAATTAGAAATTTACTTATGCAAAAGTAGCCACAGTAAATCAAAAGTTTACTAATGCAAAACCAGCTACAGTAAATCGGAAATTTACTTATACAAAAGTAGCCACAGTAAATCAGAAGTTTACTAATGCAAAAGTTTGTGCCATAGTAAACCAAAAGTTTACTAAGAGATAGCACATGCCATGATAAACTTGAAGTTTTCATTTTCCATTTTAAATGAGCTATTTGAGAATTCAGATAAGCATATACTGAAGAACTAGAAGATTCTTCAAGAATTCTTCTGTGTTACTTGTTCTCATAATAAATTGATTATACCAGCTAAAGTTGGGACTAAGAGCCTTGGTTCTGAAATATATAAAAGGTGAATATGGGCTCATTCACCTGTCATGTGAACCACTTATTGATGCATATATAAGATGGTTACATGTATGTTTATTGTCAACTAGCAGTTTGGCATTTGAGATTGCTTTTCTCCATTAAGAGCATAACTTTCAGATTATGAAATCAAGACAGTTCATCTTGATAATGCTGGTTTTATATCCAAGCTGGTTTAGCATTGAATACCTCCTACTAATGGCTAAACTATTGCTTATGAGAACAAAGCTTCATGTGTTGGTCTAAGATATTCTAAATTGCATACAGCAGCACTTGTATGCATTAGACCAACAATATATGATAAAGTCCTCCCCGGTTTAGGATTAGAAATCAAATATTTTTACTATCTTTTGATTTGTGGTATATGATTAATTTCTCTACCACAATACACAAAGAGATGTTTCCCAAAGAAGATTGGGAATATATGTTAGTTTTTCTAACATTTGGGGGATGGAATAAACAACTGAAAAATATGCTATATGTGTCGAATTATCATTAATATGGTCCTAACTTAGAAGATAATTCAAGTCAAATGTCAGAAGCATTTGCTGATCCAAAATTTAATATCATATTTTAGCTGCAAATGCTCCTATTAAAATTAATGTCCCTGAAGGATAGAGTTTACTATACGCATGAAGCGTGGTAGACCAATCGGTTCCAAAGGTAACAATCCCTGAAAAATGGTAGGAGCTAATGATCATAATGAGGAGGAAATAAGCTCTAGAAGAGCCCACGACATAACATTTTATGAAACTCCCGAAGAAGTTCAGGTACCTGAAAATAAAGAAAGTGATGAGATCTCAACAAGTTATGTCGCTTAGGAACTGATAAAAAATGATTGTCGACGATATATTTGATACAATATAGTGCAAAATATTGTAAAAGTTGTGAGGATCGGACCAACACTCCAGACACTTGAAGATGTCATACCATTTAGATACAAGTCATAACCTATATGACTTATTTGATTAAATCTATATGAAGATCCTTGAAGGATTTAAAATGCCTGAAGCATATAATTCAAAGTCTTGAGAAATATACTCGATCAAATTATAAAGATCTTTGTACGGTTTAAAGCTATCTGGGCGTGTGTGGTATAATCGCCTCAGTAAATATTTGCTGAAAGAAGATTACATAAATGATGTTATTTGTCCATGTATTTTCATAAAGAAAATGACATCAGAATTTGTTATACTTGCTGTTTATGTTGATGACATAAATCTTGTTGGAACTCTAGAAGAGCTCCAAAAGGCAATTGATATCTTACGAAAGAATTTGAGATGAAAGATCTTGGAAAGATAAAACTTTGTCTTGGCCTGCAAATTAAATATTTAGCAGACGGGATCTTTATCCATCAATCTGCCTATACAGAAAGGGTCTTAAAACGCTTTTACATGGACAAAGCATACCCATTGAGTACACCAATGATTGTCCCATCACTTAAAGTGAACAAGGACCCGTTCCGACCTCCAGAAGAGGATGAGGAACTCTTTGGTCCTGAAACACCCTATCTCAGTGCAATTGATGCACTTATGTATCTTGCTAATGCTACAAGGCCTGACATAGTATTTTCTGTTAATTTACTAGCAAGATATAGCTCTTCTCCTACACGAAATATTAGAATGGGATTAAGCATATATTGCGATATTTAAAGGGAACTCTTGATATGGGTTTGTTTTATGCTAACAAAGGTAGTACAGATCATGTTGGTTATGCGGATGCAGGTTATTTATCTGATCCCCATTAAGCTCGATCTCAAATCGGGGAATGCGTATGGTTGAGATCAGTGATTCATTCAAGAAAAATATGGTTTGGAATGTGATAAAAGATCCACAATTTTATACGAAGACAATGCCGCATGCATAGTCCAATTGAAGGGAGGATTTATAAAAGGAAATAGAATGAAGCACATTTCACCAAAATTATTCTACACACATGATCTTCAGAAAAATGGTGACGTTGTTGTGCAACAAATCCGTTCAAGTGAAAATCAGGTAGATTTGTTCACTAAATCTTTGCCAACTTCAACTTTTGAGAAGATGGTATACAAGATTGGGGGAATGCAGAGACTCAAATATTTGAAACAAGGTTTTCATCAGGGGGAGTGAAATACGCGTTGTACTCTTTTTCCCTTACTAAGGTTTTTCCCATGGGGTTTTTCTCTTAAGGTTTTTAATGAGGCATCCAGAAATACGTATTACTAAATATGTGTATTCTTTTTCCTTCACTAGGATTTTTTCCACTGGATTTTTTCTAGTAAGGTTTTAACGAGGCACAATATCTTTTAATGAATATCCAAGGGGGAGTGTTATGAAAATAATTATATTGTGAATGTTCATTTAATACTCCGTTATAGATAATCTTCCTGAAGAAGACTATCCATTTGGTACTCTAATGAAGTTTATCTACAAGCAACTGATGCAGGCAGGTTGCAAGCAACTCAATAAAATGATTTGCAGCAGCTTCTTATTAAACAGGCAGATTGTAAGCAGCTCATGCAGACAGCTTACAAGCAGCTCAATAAAAGCTTTGCAGCTGCTTCCTGAAAAGCATCTCAGCTGCTTACTTTCTTCTATAGATAGAGGAGTTTTCAGTTCATTATATACATGAAAGTTGAGTAAATATATCAACCTCTCTCTCTAATTCTCTTCGATTTTATTTACTTTACAGTGCAAAATGTAATTTAAGAAATATAATTATTGTAATATCCACATACTTTAGTTCAACGTCATCTCGTCTTATTGTTTTTTCCGTGCGAACAGCTACTTGTCAACGCATTAGAATTTAGAACAGAAGATCAACCACCTGGTTGTTGAATGTTATTACACGTGACTAAGTTAGAACCTCATCTTAGCTTTTTCTTTTTGTTACTCTCATCATTTATAATACGATGTCCACAATTTGCAGGGTGAAGCTAGAATTAAGTATCGATTTGGCCGAACTTAATAATTTTAGTCCAAATTTTATATTTTTATTAAAATTTTATTTAATATGTTTAAAAATTAAATTAAAATTCAATAATTACTAACATCATTATTTTAAGATTTAAAATTAATAAAATACTTTTCCGTTTCAATTTATGTGAACTTATTTAATTTTATTTTTGGCCCGTAAAAAGAATGACCACTCTTCATATTTGGATTTTTTTTATCAAAGAGTGGGGCTATAACATCGGGGACAAGATTTGACCACAAAAAAAGAAGGTTTTTTCTCTTTTAAGATTGTGACTCCTGATGATGGAGACTACAGTCCGAGAGATTAATGTGTATGAATTAGAGGGGATGTCTTAGATAATTGAGAAATTAGAGAGTCTATTGAGTTTTGCAAAACAAGAAGGGAAGTCTTAGTGGCGTTTGGACATAAATTATTGTAATTTTTGAAAAAAAAGTACTAATTGGAGTTTTGTTGAAAAATGATATTTGAAATTTAAAATTATGTTTGGATATGCATTTCACTTGAAAAAATATTGCAATTTTGTGAGTAGGGAAATAAAAATATGAAAAAGTGATCTTTGAAAAACTCATTTTCGATTTTTTTTTCAAAAACTTACAAAATTTCATGGACAAATACGTTTTTGAACAAAAATAAAAGGTCGATAAAAAAAAAAGAAAAAATGTCTATGGATCATCTCTATTTTTCCCCCGGGGAATCTTTAGAATTCCCACTGCTTAACTTTCAATTAGCCTCTCGCTGCTGTGGGATCTAGCGGCTCCAACCACATTGACGATAGTCCTTCATTGCGACTTAGATTGCACGATCAAGATCAAAGGCCTAAGTAAGTGAATCATTTGTTGGAGTAATGAACATATGTAGATTAAACGTCGTCTAGAGCACAATACGTTTAGAGGGTTAGTCCAATTCAGTGGCTGAGTGTTGACAATTCAGTAATTTTGTTATATAATGGAAGACTAGCTCTCTAAATTGGGCTCTAAACGCTGCTAGTTTTTCTTTTTTTCTTTTTTTGAACGTTTGGTACCCATTATGCATTTATTTTTTTTGGATTTTTTTCCGCTCAAATTCGAGACATGTGTTTAAAGATACGTGGAGAAATCATATCCATTTAACTTACAACCTTTGATGGTCCTTTGTGTATAAAGTCATTTTTCGAAAAAGTATAATTATTCAAAAGTCAATTTGATAGAAAAATAAAGCATCATAATTTAATTAAGTAGTTAGATATATTTGAATTCTTAAAAACTATAAGCAATCATGCATAGCTCTAAATTACAAATGAAAGAATATTGAACATTTTGATATCTAAAAAAGGAGAGGGTTTTTCCAACTTCAGCTTTCAATAGTACGTCCAAATGAATTTCTATTTGTATATTTTTTGCTACTCCTATTTAATTTGAACTAAACGTGTATAATTAACAATATGAATTATGAAATCAATTTTACTGGTTATAAATTATAATAATAACAATTAACAGGTAACTGAAAATTGGCCCAAACTTAAAAACGAGCCGTATTGGCAATTTGGCATATTGCCGAACATTAATAAAGGTGCTTTGTGCATGATGCATGCGCACTCAATTAAAAAAATTGAAAAAATCCTCTAATTTGTCCCTCAAATTCAAAGACACTCTCAAACTCCTACTCTTACAATTCACAAACAGTTAAAGAAGAAGCAGAATCATAGCTATTCAGTACTACAAAAAATGGGGATAGTATGCCCCGATGAGAGCAAGAGGATAGAGATCGAGGAATTTCGCCGGATGTTGCTATCTTACGCGGCGGTGCACCGGACAAAAGCCGCCGCCGCCGACGATGAATTCCGAAATCCACAGCACTTGCCCACTGCAGCTGAACAGAACCGTGAACTTGAAGAGAAGAAGGTGTGCGTCACCAGTGGTGTATCCTTCCTCGCTATTTCTATCGTAAACCAACTCTTACTCCGTGGATACTCTGTACGAGTCATTGTGGAAAAACAAGGTGCCAATATTTTATTTTACTTTAGTTTTGTGCTACTTTTCACCTCCTCCTTATGCTTTTGGTACTGCGTAAAAGGAAAAAAGAAGAAGAGAAAAGTAAGTTCTGATTCCAGCTGGAGAATAGCAACAGTAGTTTGAATTTGGCCAACTGGAATCTGGTGTGCTGCTTTCATCAATGACTTGTTGCCATTCCTATAGTTTTTACTGGAATCACGTGATTTAATGTTCCTTTAGATCTTCGGTGTTGAATATGTTAAAATTGACGTGAAAGACGTGATTTCTTTATTCATCCTGTTTTAATTTGCCTAAATTGACGTTTGATTTCGTGTTCTGAAACGTTATATCATCAGTTCATTCTTTGCTGACTTCGCCGACTCTATTAGGTAGAGTTAAGAGTATTTATCAGATATTTATCTGCAATTACATGTTCTTTTACACTGTTCGTGCTTAAAAATTGAATTCAAATATGAATGATAAAGAATTACTCGTCCCTATGTTTTTATATTAGTTTTTATAAGATGAGATGAGAATATATGTTAGTTAATTGAAAGAAGTTTATGTGCAAACATCGGATACCAAATATATTTTTTACTTATCTAAATCTGGTTCGAGCAATTTGTTTGGGTTGGAGTTAGGGCATATTTCCTGATATGCTAAAATTGTTAAATGCAGAGGATCTGGAAAAGCTAAGAGAGATGGAAATTACTGGAGAAATGAGACAGTCCATGAACACAGTAGATGCAGTAATGGCAAGTCTAAATGATGTGCAAAGCCTATCAGAAGCATTCAACGGTTATCGTGGCGTCTTCCACACTGCTGCCTTTGTGGACCCTGCTGGCTTATCTGGATATTCAGTATGTGTTTTATTTTACTCTCTCCCTCACCCCGTTGATGACACCAGAAAAGTAGGACGCACACTTTTGTGCATTAATTAGTAAATTAATAGGAGTAGTAACAATCAAAATTGAGAAAAGGAGTTTGGTGCGGTTAATTAGAGCAAAAGATCACAATTTCATCCACAATGCCCTCGGTCAATGCTAAATGCCTGGCATGATGCAATTCCCTTAATTCCTCTATTAATTCTAATGAAGGAAAACGTTACTACTACGTTTTTAGAGTCCATTTCTGGTATGATTACTGAACTAATAAAAATTGTCTATCAAAGTTACTTTACTTTATTTTGTAACTAGAAGGTCATTATACTTTACATATTGTAACGCAAAAGTCACTCAGCACTTTTCATATTTCTTTTCAGCCCAACCATTTAAAAAATAAAAAATCCATTTAAACCATGACTCAACCGTTCCATGACCCGGCCTATATTCTCTTATTTCTATTATAAAAAACGTAAATATTACTTTGATATAGTGTATTATATTGGTTCTCAATATAGTTATACTGAATGCATACATTGGTTTAAGCAAAGTATTAAATAGAGAATAAGAAATTAATCTTAACAAACTAGAGCAGTTAAATTTGAAAGTGAAACAAAAAACTTATCAGCGTTGAAGTGGAAGAAAATAAAAATGAGGAAGGAAAAATGAAAAAAGTTATTTATGCTTGAAATTTTGACTGAGAAATATTAATATGAGAGTAAATTAAAGAACAATATCCTCGATGTTTTAAAACAAGAACGCGCATTGCTTGTGGTAAAGATAATGTTACTAGAAGACCATTTTCTAGTCGAACTGATTTAATACTTTGCTTAAACCAGTATGTTGAAAACCAAGATAATTAACAACAAAGTGATATTTACGTTTTTTGTAAGAAAAGTAAAAAGAAGTGGGTCGGGTCAAAGAGCGGGTTGAGTGACGATTTAAATGAATATTTTTTTACCGTTTAAAATTATTGTGTTAAAAAAATATGAAAAATAATATTTAATATGTCCTAAATGTATTGAGTGACTTTTGAGTTACAACGTGCAAAGTATGATGACTTTGTGGTTACAAAACAAAGTATAGTAACTTTCATAAACAATTTTCATTAGTTCAGTGACTTTAAGAAATGGACTCTACGTTTCTATAGTCAAAACAAAACGCAAATGAAGAAAAATTCTAATGTTATTTTTTTTCCAAAAAAAGCTAACTACTTTATTTCTTAAAATCTTTGAGTCGACTACTACTTTTTCACGATATAATTCAGTTCTTATTGCCAGAATCTGAGTGCGTCTCTACGGCAATTTCGATGTACCATTCTTCTTCTTCTAGAAAACATGTCGTTATCTAGCTATTTCAACTTGCAGTACCTATATATCAAAGATGGGCCAACGTCGCTATTAATTAATTATTGGCGTTTTTCGATTGGCAAATACAAATTGCGTGCAGCATGTCATTCTCTTCAACGATATTTTAGCTAAAATTTGCACAAACGCCGCATAAAAGTTGGTACGCTTGTGTACAAGTAAAAACGTTACCATAACAGATATATATTCTAATCATCTACCTATATATCGGACGGCAACTCATTTGTGTGTTTGTTAAGGTACTTGCCGAACTTTCTGTTAATCACTAATATTCATGTGTTTTGTTAGACAGTTTTAATTCGTTACTCCATTTTGTAGAAATCAATGGCTGAAGTAGAAGTGATGGTAAGCGAGAATGTGACTCAGGCATGTGCTGTAACACCGTCGGTCAAATATTGCGTGCTCACATCCTCACTTTTAGCCTGTGTATGGAAAGATCTTCATTCATCAACAACGATTGATCATGATAGCTGGAGTTATGAGTCTATCTGCATAAACAAGAAGGTACATTAAACTGATTATAGAGTGCTCTTCTTCCTGTGTTACATTCCTATTCAATATAATAAGACTTTAAATGGCATGCCTTTTAAAATAATAAGATGCGAGTTTCATGGGTCCTATTTATATCCCTAGTGCTTAGCCGGGAAATGATAAGGTGAGAGTCAGTTGACACTTTTTGCCGGAAAACTATACTGTTTAGATAGGTAAATTTTTTTATGTATATATATTATGTGTTGAACCCCTTGTCTATTTCGTATACAACAACAACAACGGCCAGTGTAATCCCACTAGTAGGGTCTGGGGAGGGTAATGTGTACGCAGACCTTACCCCTACCCCGAGGGCAGAGAAGCTGTTTTCAGGAGATTCTCGGCTCAAGAAGACGACAAGAGACGATATATTAGTACCATCAATAGAGTCATAATAAAATAACAGCAATAGAGGAAATACGAAATAGATGGAAAGTACAATAATAACCAGTAGATAAAGCCATGCATCAGTAGATGACCACTAGCATCCTAAAACTAAATCTTAACTGTCTAGTCCTACTCGGGTGCAACGTAGAAATATTCGCAACTTCCTCCTAACCTACAACCTTAATGCTCGACCTCCACAATACCCAGTCAAGGGCCATGTCCTCAGTAATCCTAAGTCGCGACATGTCCTGCCTGATCACCTCTCCCCAATACTTCTTGGGCCGCCCTCAACCTCTCCTCGTGCCCACCACAGCCAATCGCTCACACCTCCTCACTGGTGCATCAGTGCTCCTCCTTTGAATGTGCCCGAACCACCTGAGTCTTGCTTCCCGCATCTTGTTCTCCATGGGGGCCACGCTTACCTTCTCCCGAATATCTTCATTTCTAATCATATCCATCTTAGTATGCCCGCACATCCACCTCAACATCCTCATCTCTGCTACTTTCATCTTCTGGATGTGTGAGTTCTTAACCGGCCAACACTCAGTCCCGTACAACATGGCAGGCTGATGTTCTAAACGTCAATACCACACAAGATGGGGGGTGATTTATGTGGTACCTAATTTTCGCACTAGAAGAACCTGGTTCTTCTAGATATACTTACTATAACTGTTTGCGGAATTAAGAATGCATAAAATAAAGAACACAGAGATTTTTACGTGGAAAACACCTGGCTCAAAAGGTGAAAAAAACACGACCTACTACTCAGTAGGATTTTTCCAAACTTCCACTAAAATCACTTAGCCAAAAACAGCATTTACAAACTCTTGTAAACCTAAGGATTAAACTCTAATCCCAGTGTAGCACACAGCCTCAACTGTTGCGACACCTTCAAGTTAACTCTAACTTGAATACTCAATATACCTATTACAATTGCTTCTAGATAAAGCTGAAGGATACAATATGAAACACCTACTACAATTGAACTAGAAATAAAGAAAAACACAATGGAATTGGTTCTTCACTCTTGGTTCATGTAGCTTCAGATTTGCTCGCTTGAATCACACATAAATAGCTTGCAAAATTCGCCTAGCTCTTTTGCTCTCAATTTAGTTTAACTTCTGCGTATGTGCAATCACCTGTAAAAGAGAACAATCTTTATTATTTATAGAGTTAGTAATCAGAGTTTGATTAAAACTCGAATTGATGATCCTTCATCAAATTCGAGTCCTAGTACACTTCAAACTCCAATCCTTTATCCTTGATCTGGATGTAGTTCTCTTTACATAAGGAGACTTCAACTCCTTATCCTATGCAACCTTTTCGATTAACTTAGAAGATATTGTTGCTGATCCTTGAGACTTATCTTCTTCACACGTATGTCACATGTGTAAGCATATCAACACTGTGTCTCACATGATGGACCTGGTTCATGACTGAGTTCATTTTGTCAATCTTCAAAACTTCATCTGAACTCGGGCCATCAAATTCCCCCTTTTTGATGATGACAAACTCTGTGCTTTTACTGATCAGAGACCCTGTGGAACTCAGCTTAATTTTCACACTTTAATTTAACTTATCATTAAGAACCAGGTTTAATCAGGTTATAAATATCACTTTATTTCAGAATACAAAGTAAAACACAATATCTCTTCCCCCTTTTGGCATCATCGGAAAGTTGCATATTATATGAATCCCAGATGTTAATTAATACTCATGGCCACTGGGGCAACTGCAAGTGAAAACATGATATAGTTAATCAATAATCAACTTCACAAAAAAATTTAACTATTTAGATCAGAAGTATCATATATCAAGAGAAAACAAAGCATATTTTCATTGATTAGGGGGTGTTTCCATATAACAGACCACAAAAAGAAAAACAAACATCCAACCATGAGTAAAAAAAAATAGAAGTCCCGAATCTAGGTCACTGAGGGGGTTTCTAAACTGGTTCTAGGTCTAGGAGGAACTAGAGGGTTGGGATTGAAGAAGATTGAGCATTGTTTGGAGCATCCCTTCACTCTTTTATTTTTCCTTTGCTAGCTCATCTTTGAGGCCATTTCTTTCACTTTCCAGTTCAGCAATGCGAGCCTGGAGGCTAGCAATTTCTGCATCTTTTGTTCCACACTCTAGAACCAATGCCCTAACTTTGCTATTCACAGGAGTCTTCACGGATGAACCAAGTTCAACTGGGGTTACACTTAGAAGATAATCACAAACCTGCAGAGTTTTGATTCCAAAGTGCTCTTTGCTGGAGGCCATCTCCCACTTTTTCAATGGCACATCTAACTTGGCCAAGACAGTTGTCAGTATAAACCCATAAGGTGTGGCATGGGCCTTAGAGCCATTGATGACTCTATCCAGCAGCTTGACAATGAAAGCAGGCCAATTAATCTGCTTTCCTCTCACAAGACACTCCAGAAGGACCAGGTCCATATAATTTGCAGTGTGCCTTCTCTCCTGTCTGGGCAGCAAACACTTGTTCACAAACTCAAAAAGTACCTTGTGCTCAGGCTTCATTTCACTCTTTTGCACAAATCTAGCCTCAGGCACTTCTTCAGCAGACTTGGTATCACAGAAATTCCGAGTGATTTGGAGAGCAGAAGGGAGAGAATCTAGACAAGGCCACCTTTGCCTAGTATAATCATCATATCCCTCACAGGGTATGTCTAGAATTCTTTCCAACTTAGGTGCATCAAATTGCACCTCTACTCCTCTCACCAAGCTTGTAACAACCCCATTCACCACTGTGGCATTTGCCATAAACTCTATCAGTTCTTTTCTTGCAAGTCTACCATCCAGTTGAAGAACCATGTCCTTCCAACCCTGTGCTTCCAGTGCATCAACCAATCTTTTCATGCCTGGCTCCTCCAGGTCTTTCAGAATTCTTCCTTCCAATATTTTTCTTTTTCCAAAAAGGACAAACCTGTCCTGCTCTTTCTCAGATTCCTCTTCTTCTTCTCCTCCACTCCAAGCTTGTTCTTCTTCAGGAACTTTTACTTGTTTTTCTTTAACTGCAGACCTGGTTCTTTTTGCCAGGGAGGGTTCAGCAGAGATAGATTCTGAAGACTTCTTGGTAGAAGGCTTGGATTTCTTAGGTTTAGGAGTAGGAACCTCCTCAGTTGTACCTCTCTCCTGATGGACCAGTTCTATCTCTTCCTCCTCTTCTTCTGCAGCCACAGAACTTTCCAGAACTTTAGCTTTTCCCTTTTCCTTGTTCTTTTTCTTGCTTGCCTCTAAGGCTTTCTACAACTCAGCTTCACTTTGCTTGACCCTGCTTCTAGTAGCTTTCACCTTTGGTACTGAAGAGACAGTAGACTTAGGAGATGACACCTTGCTCTTCTTTGTTGGCTTAGAGGCAGTTGGAGCCTTTTGAGAAGAAGCTTTGCGCTTCTTGGGATCATAGATTTCTCCCACCTTCTTCAGAATATCAGCCAAAGTTTCTTCCACAGATGAACCATGTTCATCTAGTTGTTCACTCAGGTGTACTAGGCCTTCAGCAGCCTCCCCAGTTTCACTTCCCCCTGCCTTGGTGCCACTTTCCTCAACTCCTCCACAAATTGCAAGAATTTCACCTTTCTTTTTCTTTCCCTTCCTCTTCGATTCTCCCTCACTTACATCTCTCACAGACCCCACCAACACAAACCTATCATCTACTTTCTCCACTACATTAGAAAAAACATAGCATGTATTTACCTCTTTAGGGGTTTCTTGATTTTTGTCTGATTCAGAAGACCCACGTTCTTCTCCATCGCTTGCAGAGACAAAATCTTCAGACTCAGAACTTGAGTCAGATGATTCTTTTTCAGAGCTTCCCCCTCTTTGACTCGCTTTCAATTTTTCGTTGAGAGCTGTTCTCAAAACACCAGTAGCAACAGTCTTTCTAGCCAACATTTTCTGCCTGCGGAATCTTGGTTTAGGGTTGTCGCTAGGAGGTACAGATGAAGATGTATTAGGAGATACTGGTGGGGGAGTTAAAGGATTTTCTTGAGAGTTAGTCATGGCGGAGAATTTCTGGAGGATTTTTTGGGAATTTGGAGAATTTTGGAGAGATGGAGGATGATCAGGGGTTTAACACTTAATGACGGTTATGGAGTGAAGTAGGAATATGTGGAGTGTATTTAAAGTAGAGAATGATTAGGTGCAGTAATGGCAGTCTTTTGCAGTGGTCAATCAGGGGTCTAATCTCATTAGGACTCGGGTCTTTAAGAGGTAATTGATCGACGCTAGTTTTAAGGAGATAATCCCGTTATTTAGAATTCGAAGAGAATGAAACTGGTTTAATGCACAACGGTTAGATTTTTAGGAGTTTGGTTAGGATAGGACTTCTGCTCATAATTGAAATATTTATTTTTCTAATTGTGCAAAGTATAGAAACATACCTGACCCTTTCTTATTAGCATATGCTGATGAACCAGGTTCTGTACGTAGAACTTCTCTTGAGTATGCCTCATATATCAGAATAGAAAAAAAAACTTTGTAAGAGATCAATGAATATCAACACACGTCACAGGAGTATACTGATTAGAGTATGAGACTGAGTAAGAATTAATCTAGATATTTACATAAAGTCAGAACTTCTAACCAAATTTTTTTTTTCATTGCATTCT